AAAATCACAAAGTGCACAGTACGGTGTAGAAAGAGAAGTATTACAAGATATTGTGGTCCAAAACAAGATTACTTCCTTTCAGGGAAAGTATGCCCTTTGAAGCAAGGTAAAGAGCTTTGGAGGCGGGGTACTAATGTATAATTCATAAATGAAAGGGAGAAACTACTTGGTGGTTTAAATTCTCCCAAAGGTTCCACAGGCTTTTGACAGTTTCACAATCTCACTCAAGCAGGCACCCCTGATACTGCGAGTGCAGAGGGGGCAACACTAGGTCACAGAAATCTGCCTTGCTAGTCAGCAGGCTGCCTATTTCAGGCCCTGCGGGGAGGCTTAGCCTCACCTGACAGTCCTGACGACGAAATACACCAGCACCGCGCCGCTCACCACCATCAATACGGTCAGGGCCCGCTGGGTCATGGGCTTCTCGCCGGTGTTGGGGCTCACAGCCAGAACGCCACCCATTGAGACTTCTTCCCCCGCCTTCCCGGTTTTGTCCTCCGCCTCAAGCTCCGCCCCGGGACTGCTGCCATTGCCACCTTCAGCGCCCCGAGGCCTTGCGGCTTCGGCCTGAGCGCGGCCGGGGGACTGAGCGGCCGTGGGGCCAGGCGGGAGTGGGGGCAGGGTCCGCGGTCCACGCCCCGAAGGTCCGGAGTCCCGAGCGGCTTCGGCCACTTGCAGCAGTACCGCCATGGGACCTCTTAACCCTGGCAGGAGTAGCAGCAGCAAGAGGGCGGAGGCCAGAAGGCGGCTGAGGCAGCAGCTGCAATGCAGGGCCTTCATCGTCCCCGGTCCGGCCTCTCACCACGCCGGAGCCGCCGGGCCCGCCGCCCTGGCTCCAGGACGGACCATGGGCGCAACGGAGAACGAAGAACAGGTGACCAAATCCCGGGCTGAGACCCGGCCGCGGCAGGTGACAGAGGCAGCAGCAGCTGCAAAGACGGGAGCTGCTGGGAAAACCGGACGTTCGTACATTTCAGGCGCCACTGTTACTATGGACGCTTCCGGTTGCTAACATGTAGGGGCAGGCGCGTCCAGTGACGTCAAGCGCGGAATGCCCTGTGCGTACGTGCCCTGCCAGAAGGAGCTGGGTCGATCTGTAAGGGTGGGTCACATATAAGAAAGTACACAAAAAAGTATAGCGTCAGTGTTTATCAACTCTTTGCATAAGGAAACCTCGAGAGACTGGGCGCTCATGATTGAGTTCCTTTGTGCAGAACTGCAGAAACACAATTAAAACGGGCTTGACGTTTCTCTCAGCTCAGGTACAAATTTTAGAGAAATGTCTTCCTGTCTCCAGGTCCTGACCTTCCTTTCCTGAGAGTATTTACTTTAGAGAATTTGTAATTGTAAATTCATTCACTGCCCTTTTGAGATATAAATCTTTTAAAAAGCTCTTGCCAGTTTCACAGCCCAGGACTGTATTAACGACCTGAGAGCCATTCTTTTGAAATGTAATCAACGCAGAAAATAGCACCCCTATCTTTCTAGTCTTGGTGGAAAGGTAGGAGCCTAACTTAGGCGGGCACCTAGTTCCAAGTTGTAGAACCACCTCCTGTCACAAAGCTAAGAGGAAAAAGTTAACTTTTCCTTTGAATAAGGCCAATTAGTAAACACAGGTGGCCTATGGTGCTCCATACGTCAACTCTTAAGTCGCTTCCAGCTCTTTGTTTCTGGGTAATTGAGCTCAGAGTTCCGGCCTTTGCCCTTTCTTACGATAATCTTGAATAATGTCTTCTTTACCTCTTTAACTTTGACATCTTAACATGGAGCTTTTGTCTGAGCAGATACTAACAATCAATAACAACAAAAAAACAAAACAAAAGAAAAACCTGACCACAAGCCAAAGTTAACATTTGTTCTTTTTAAAAAACGTATTCACTCAAGAAATCATTTAGAGTTTCTACTTGCTTAGCACTGTGTTAAAATATGAGTATTGGATAGTAGACAAATAAGACGTGATCTTTGCTGTCATAGTACTTAGTCTCATATGGAGACAAACAATTGGACTCATTCTGAAGTATGTTATAAATGATGAGAACAGGATCTACAGTAAAAAAATTGTAAAGGACTGTTGTAGGTAGGTGGACAGGATAGTGTCTTTAGCTGCTTTGGCTTAATAGAGTAATGCAATTACTCTTGTAGGCATCTTAATGTGGGTTCCAGTGTGAGGAAGACCATTGGTGACATACCCTAACTTCATTTTCCAATTGGCATTTATCAGTAATAAGGTGGCTCTTTGGATATCTTGTCGCCCTTATTCACAATCTTATTCAGAGCCATATGTGGAAGAGGGATGGTATTTAATGCCACTCTCTTCCACCCTTTAAAATAGTCCAATATTCAACACATAAAAAAAAAGTGCACCATCTTTCCTTCCTTACAATATCATATTTTACTGTTGTGTTTCTCATCTTGATTATTAGCATTATGCTTCTCCAGGATGATCAGGCATAAAATCTTGGCATCTCCCTTTACCCTTGGCTTCCCATCTGCAGCAATCCTTGCCAGGAACTGGGACATGCAAAGTGCTAAGTAATTCTGAAATAGCAGAGTCAAACTAATGGTTCCAAAAGATAAGAACATATCATGTTCTAATGTTTCTCCAAATGTGACTGTCAGCCACCTGAATCAGTGTCAGAAATGGGATTTGTTAAACATGCAGGTTCTAGGTCACTATTCCAGAAATTTTGAGCACAATTTTTGGGAGTGGGGATATGGACTATGTATGCATTTTTCTTAAGCACTTGGGGTAATGTTCATTTACACTAATGTTTAAGAATTTATTTCCTTTCTCTCACCACCTGAATCCAGATGTTGTCAAATCTTCACTTCTCTAACGTCTTTTTTCATTAATCAACTCTTTTCTGTTCCCTGCTTCTGACAAGGAATTGTTTTTTATTAATACATTGCTAGGGCTATACACTCTCCTGCTGTGCTCCCAGCCCTTTCTACCTTCAGTTACAGCCAGGGTAAACTTTCAAGCTCAGATCTCTCTTAAAATAACAAACAAACAAATAGATCTCCCTCCCCAAAGATTCTCAGTCTTCAAAAACAGTGATCTTAAGCAGGCAGAGCACCTGTAAATTAATGTGTTCTCTGTAGAATACGATATTATTTGTAAAGCATCATGAAACAATATTTTCAGTTCCATCACAGGAACTAGTAACAAATTTCCTGGGAGAACATATTTTGCTTATGTAATATAAAATGACAATTTTGGGCACACATGTCTATTTAAACGACAAGTTGTCAAACTAAGTATAATTGGTGTTTCTGAATTTTTTCAATTTATAATAATACTACTTGTGCATTTAATTGTTTTCAGTTGGCTAATAGAGAACAAGGCTCTAAGTATTCCCTGGTGTCAAAACCCCCTTGCTTGTCCATTAATGACGAAGGAAAGTAGAAGGTTGGCTCAACTATAATGGTCACATTGGGACAGAAGGAATCTCTTACACATTAAGTGGCAGGAAACTTCGACATCAGGGGACTATCTATACTCTAAAAGTCCAAAAGGAAACAGTTAAATAACCCAGAAAAGAGAGTATGAACTGATCACAAAACCAGGAAGCCAAGAGAATGTATACTAAAAGCTAGAATATGAAGCCAAAACTGGAAGCCATAGAGAGAACTTAGAAGGGAGTAGTGCTGTTGGGGTAGGCACCACATAGTCAAGTAGGAACATGAATAAATATTAGGATTACATATCTAAAAGGAAATGACCATACAAATGAGAAATGAGAGGAAAAAAAACAAGGTGTGTCCCAGTTTTTCTGGTTCTCTGCCTCTGGAAAATTTCCCATCTTCAGTGCAGTGACCTGAAGTCGCAGAATGTGGAAGTCTCTCTATTTAAGATGCAGAGATCAGAGTTGTGGGCTTTTGAAGTGGTCAGAATCTGTGGGGCAGAGCATTAAAAGAAGGAATCTGCGGTCATAAAGTTCATGTGGGGGGTTACCACAAGTTCTTGCCTGAGAGCTGGACAGCACAACCACAGGCATGGCCACTCAAGGCTTAGTGGCCGCTACAGAGGGGAGAGCAGAACAGAAGTAGCAGACATTAAGCAGAGCTGGGGACTTTAGAATTATGGCCCAGACACACTGGTTAAGCCTCCTGAATACTTCCTAACAACGTGGGAATCAAGCTGAGTCACTACTTTATGATAAAGGCCACACCCAGAGAAAGGCCCACTCTAGACACACATTAACGAAAGCTTAAAAAACAAGCCCTAACAAGATTGATTGTTAGAGGAGACAGCTTGGGGATTGAATTAGCCAATTTAGAGGGGCTTGAGAAAAAGAAACAGAAAGTATACAGCCTGGAGAACAGAAATATAAAAAGATTCAAGAAAAATGAACAGAACCCCATGAACTTATAAAACAGTATTACACAATTCAATATATACGGATTGGAGCTCCAAAAGAAAAATCAGAACATAATGAGGCAATGGAATACTTTTGAAAAATGATAGCTGGGATTCTTTGACTTACAGTTCCAGGAAGATCAGAGAGCAATAAGCAAGATAAAGACAAAGAAAACCATATTTGGGCATGTCAGAGTCACAGGAGAGTCACAAATATCAGAGTCCAAAATAGAAAGTCTTGAAAACAGCTTTAGAAAAAAAGATGCATTACAATCAGAAAAATAATAATACAAATGATGACATACTTCTCATCAGAAACAATGGAGTCCAGAGACAACACAGTGCCATTTTTAAGGTGCTTAAAATAAAGCTATCAATCTTGAAATCTGTATCCTATAAAATTATATTTTTAAAAATATGGCAAAATAAAGATATTTTCAGTAAATGAAAGCTGGGAAAACTCATTCAAGCAGACTGCACTACAAGAAATACTGAAGGATATTTTTTTTCAGGCTGAATGGAAGTGATACAAGATGGAAATTATAATTTACAGGAAGGAGAGATTAGTAAGTGGAAATGGAAAATCAGCATGTAAATACAAAATCCTGGTTTTTAACTTCTAATTTTCTTAAAAGGAATGTAATAGCTTCTAAAATAATAAGGGCACACTTATGTGTGTGCAAATAAAAATGTGGCAACAGAGCATAAAGGTAAAGGACAAGGGAGGTGTGGTAAGTGGAAATACACTCTTTCCTATTTGCAAAATATGATATATGAAATGTGAAGTTTCAAATGTTAGTGGGAAGTGAGAAGCGGGCTATTTATAAATAGAATCATGCTGCTGTAAGGCTATTACGTTTGTGAAGTGTGAGGTGGGAAATGTCAGGTGTGAAGTGGGATATATGAAGTAGGAAGCTCAAAAAATTAGGAGTGAAGACTGAAGTGGCACAATATTGATGCTAATAGACATAGATAAAATAATAATGAGAAAAAAGGAGGACCATTGTTAGACTTACAATAACCAGTAAAAATAATGATAAGAGGTATACCTAAGAAAAGATAAGTAACTGTAAATAAAAATAATCCTTGTCAGGGATTTCTTACAGTGGATCATGAAAATGGCATTTTTCTAGTAATACAAGTGATACATTTATATTATCAAAGTTTGGAAATGTACAGTGTAAAGAAGAAATAATTCTACCTCTCTGAGAATTCCCTTTTAATATTTCAATAAATATATCTGTATCTGTGTGTATACACATATATAATTTTGCTTATATACTTAGAACAGTAGAGTATATATAATTTATATTCTATTTTAATATTTATATCATAATTTATTTTATCTGTCTAAATCTCTTTACCAACACGAATTTTAATGATTTATCATATGCATTTACTAAGTTGGACAATTACCCTTTAACTGGAACATTATTATTAAAAATACTCTTGGGCAGTTGGTTGACTCAGGTGGTTAGACAGCTGGCTCATAACACCAAGGTTCAGTTTGATTGAAGACAACTGCTTGACTTGGAGCTGAGCTGCCAACACCAAGGTTGCTGGTTTGATTCCCACATAGGCCAGTGCGCTGTGCCTTCCACAACTAGATCGAAAACAACGACTTGACTTGGAGC